GGATGTTCCTTTGTAGGTGATCTTTTTTCTCTCTCTCTCCAGCTGCCTTTAATACTCATCCTTGTGTTTGATCTTTGCCATTTTAATTATTATATGTCTTGGTGTTGTCCTCCTTGTGTACCTTGTGTTGGGAGATATGTGGGCTTCAGTGGTCTGAGAGACTGTTTCCTTCCCCAGATTGGGGAAGTTTTCAGCAACTGTTTCTTCATAGACACTTTCTATCCCTTTTTCTCTCTTTTCTTCTTCTGCTACCCCTATAATACGAATATTCCGTTTGGATTCATCACACAGTTCTCTTAATATTCTTTCATTCCTAGATATTCTTTTATCTCTCTCTGCCTCAGCTCTGTATTCCTGTTCTCTGATTTCTATTCCATTAACAGTCTCTTGCACCTCATCCAGTCTGCTCTTAAGACCTTCTATTGATTGTTTCATTTCCGTTATCTCCCTCTGGACTTCATCCCTTAGCTCTTGCATATTTCTCCGCAGGTCCATCAGCTTGGTTATGACTTTTATTTTAAATTATTTTTCATGAAGATTGGTTATATCTATCTCACCAAGCCCTCTCTCTAGGGTTGTCTGAGCAATTTTTGACTAGACCAAATTATTCTGCTTTTTCATGGCGATAGAAGTGGTCGCAGGCGGGTGGTGTGTGTGTCAGCTGGGAGAACAAAGTCCTTTCCTGCTTGTTGGTCGCCTTGCCCTTCTCTCCTGCCTGTGTTGATTACCTGCACATGGGAGCAGTCTCTAGGATAATCTCCTGAGCTGCCGTGGTCAGGGTGGCCCTCAGGATAGCCTAGGGCCCTGCGGGGGGTTCGCAGATGCGCCGGGTGTGTTCTCCTGCAAGAATGGCACCCTGTCGTGCCTTCTGGACCTTGCTCTGGCTTTCTTTGTCCATACCAGGCAGTTGCACACTGGTAGCAGCCTCTGAGTCTGTCCCAGTTAGCTGCATGCTGGGAGAAGACTCTGTGTGGTTGCTGTGGACAGGGCTGTTCTCCGGCTGCTCTGCAGCTGTGGTGGGTCAGCCAGTTTGCTTGCAGCACCAGCTAGTGGGTAATGAATGGCAGGCTGCTTATCACTGTGAGGGGCTTCAGGGCTGCGTTACCCACCAGGGGGTTAGGGCACCTGAAGTTCCTTAAGATTTCAGCCTGCTGGGCTGAGTGTGCCGGGATGATTTTTCCAGCTGTTAAGCCCTTGTCCCTTTAAGTCTTTTAAAAAGTGCCCGCTTTTCTTTTGTCCCAGGGGAGCCGGCTGTGGGGACCTGCTCGCAGTCTCCATCTTGGATTTTACTGTTCCATTTCTCTAATATCCAGTACACCATGCAATGTGTGTCTGTGCTCCCAGTTCAGATTACTAGGGCTGGTTATTTAGCAGTCCTGTGCTTCCACTCCCTCCCCACTCTGATTCTTTTCCTCCCCCCAGTGAGCTGGGGTGTGGGGAGTGCTCGGGTCCCTCCAGGTCACAGCTTTGTATCTTACCCGTTTAATGATATGCTGAGTTCTTGCAGATGTAGATGTAGCCTGGCTGTTGTACTTTATTTTCTGGTCTCTGTTTTAGGAATAGTTGTATTTGTTGTACTTTCAAAAATATATATGGTTTTGGGAGGAGATTTCCGCTGCCTTACTCACGCCACCATCTTGAGCCCCCTCTTAAGTTTTTCTTTTTATTAACTTTGTGGAGATACCTTCCATCATTATCTTCTAGGAGTTTTGGAAGCTTTAGTATTATGCCTTTAATTTTTATTTATGAATGGTGGGATTTTATTTTTTTGTATATGATGGGCAATAGGGAGCATTTTTTTAAATGTGTCTAGCCAACTATCCCAGTACTATGTATTGAAAAGACTGTTCTCCATTACTCTATGCAGATTAACTTCCTCCTGCCCCCAGTTTTTTGAGACATAATTGTCATATTATACTCTATTAGTTTAGGATGTATGACATAATGATTTGCTATATGTATATATTGCAAAATACATACCACAGTGAGTTTAACATCCATCTTCTCACATTGTTAGAAAATTTTTTTTCTTATGGTGAGAGCTTTTAAGACCTACTCTCTTAGCAACTTTCAAATACACAATACAGTACTGTTAACTGTTGTCACCTTTCCATTACATCCCCAGGAATTATTTACCTTGTAACTAGAAATTTGTACATTTTGACCATTCCCCACCCTCTACTTCTGGCAACCACCAATCTGTTCTCTGTATCTACAAGTTCAGTTTTTCTGGATTCCACATAGAAGTAAGGTCAGACAATATTTGGCTTTCTCTGCCTGACTTACTTCACTTGGCATAATGCTCCATGGCCCATCCATAGTGTTGCAAATGGCAGGATTTCTTTGTTTTTTATGGCTCAGTAATATTCCTGTGTATGTATATGTGTGTATACACACCACATCTTTCTCTGTTCATCCATTGATGGACACTTAGGTTGCTTCCACATCTTGGCTATTGTAAATAATGCTGCAATGAACATTGGGGTGCAGATATCTTTTTGAGATAATGTTTTTTCCTTTGGATATAACCCAGAAGTGAGATTGCTGGATCATATGGTAGTTCTATTTTCAATTTTCTGAAGAACCTCCATACTTTTTCCCACAGTAGCACCAATTTACGTTCCTACCAACAGTATACAAGGATTCCCTTTTTTCCTCATCCTCACCAACACTTATTATTTCTTGTCTTTTTGATGATTACCATTCTAACAGGTGTGAGATGATATCTCATTATGGTTTTGATTTGCATTTCCCTGATGACCAGTGATGTTGAACAGTTTCATGTGCTTGTTGGCCGTTTGCATGTCATCTTTGGAAAGTGTCTATTCAGGTCCACTGTCTGTCCATTTTTCAACTGGATTGCTTGTTTCTTTGCTATTGAGTTGTCTGATATTAAACCCTTATTAGATATAGATATATCATTTGCAAATATTTTCTCCCATTCTGTAGGTTCCCTTTTCATTTTGTTGATGGTTTCCTTTGCCATGCAGAAGCTTTTTAGTTTGATGTAATCCCACTTGTTTTTGTGTGTGTGTGCTTGTTGCCTTTGCTTTTGGTATCAAGTTTAAAAAAATCATTGCCAAGACCAGTATCAAGATACTTATACCCCATGTTTTCTTCTAGGGGTTTATGGTTTCAAGTTTATATTCAAGCCTTTAATTCATTTTTAGTTGACGCTTGTGTATGGTATAAGATAAGGTCCAGTTTCCTTTTTTTTTATGCATCCAGTTTTACCAACACTATTACTGAAGAGACTTCCTTCCCCCATTGCATAATCTTGTCTCCTTTCTCATGAAGAGAGAAATGAATCAAGTATCTGTCGGTTTATTTTTGCACTCTCTATTCTATTCCATTGATCTAGATGTCTGTTTTTAGTTCAATACCACACTGTTTTGATTACTATAGCTTTCAGGTCACTGTATATTTCTACTACAGAAGTCAGGAAGTGTGACATCTCCAGTTTTGTTCTTCTTTCTCAGAATTTCTTGGCTCTTCAGGGTCTTTTATAGTTCTTCAGAAGTTTTAGGATTGTATGTTCTATTTCTGAAAATATGCCATTGGCTCTGTAGATTGCTTTGGGTTTTATGAACATTTTAACAATATTCTCCCAATCCATGAGCACAGAATATTTTTCCATTTATTTGTGACTTCAATTTATTTCTTCATTATCTTAGAGCTTTCAGTATATAAATTTTTCACCCACTTGGTTAAATTTATTCCTAGGTATTTCATTGTTTTTGATGCAGTTGAAAATTGGGTTGTTTTCTTTATTTCTTTTTCAGATAGCTCATTGTTAGTGTATAGAAATGATTTTTGTATTAACTTCTTATTAAATATTTATTCTGGAATTTTGAATATATATATATAAGTAAACAAAAGAGTAAAGTAAATCCACAACTGCTGGTGAAGATGTGAAGAAAAGGGAACCCTCCTACACTGTTGGTGGGAATGTGAATAGATGCAGCTGTTATGGAAAGCATTATGGAGGTTTCTCAAAAAACTAAAAATAGAAATACCATTTGACCCAGTAATTCCACTCCTAAGAATTTCAAAAAGTTATATGCACCATTATGTTTATCACCACACTATTTGCAATAGCCAAGATATGGAAGCATTGTAAGTGTCCATCAAATGCTGTATGGATAAAGAAGATGTTGTACATATACACAATGGAATATTATTCAGCCATAAAAAGAAAAGAAATCCTCCCAATTGCCACAAAATGGATGGATCTAGAGGGCATTATGCTGAGTGAAATAAGCCAAGCAGAGAAAGACAAATACCAAATGATTTCACTTATTTGTGGAATATAGAAACAAAGCAAAACAGAAGGAACAAACCAGCAGTAGACTCATAGAAACAGAAGTGACTAGTGGTTACCAAGGGGTTGGGGTTTGAGCAGGTTGGGAAGCAGGGTGAAGGGGAAAAGGGGGCCCAATAATTCACAATCACAATGCAAGTTGGTCACAGGGACGGTAGTACAGAGACTACAGTTAATGATTCTATAACATCTTACTACGTATAAGATTGTGAATGCACTAGATGGGTTGAGGATTTAATAATATGGGTAACTGTTGAACCAGTGTTGTATATTTGAAACCAACATAAGATTGTATATCAGTGATACTTTAATAAAAAAAGTAAAGTAAATATTATCACCCTACTTTTCAGTATTTACCAAGTTATAGCCAGTCTTTACCCCTTCCCATTCCTCTCTCCCATATTTTGAGTCTAGTTTATTTGAATTGGGTTCCAAATAAAGTCTACCCATGGCATTTGATTAGTCTCTCAATATATAAATTTGTCTACCATCATTTTTTTTACTTGAAATTTATTTGTTGATGTGTTAATGAGTTAACTTTTAAGTGGGCTACAGCTTTAAGTTAATTTTGTTTAAAACTATTCCCATTACTTGAAAGAATCAAACCACTCTTCCTAATCTAGGAGTGCCTAATATGAATGGCTACTGCTTTAACTTACCTGGCTCCTTTATCCCATAGGTGCTGATAGTTGACCTCTGTGCAGACAAGTTCTTACAGGAGGTGAGTGACAAAGTAGGTGATTACATAATGTTTGGGGATAATTGGAGAGAAGATATGTGAAAGTACTTAGAGAAGATGACTCAGGGAAGACTTTTAGTTCCTACACATACTTGACTTGACACTATGGTCAGACTGACCTGAAAAATTTGGCTTGGGTTTATAGCTGTCTGTCCCAAAGAAGGAAGAAGGAAACAGAATAAATGTCATTCTCAAAACTGGTAAGCCTCCCTTCAAGTCCAGATAGGTTGACATATAAGCCTCTAGCTTAATTAAATTTAACAAGCACTCAGTGCTGATTATTTCTAGATTTTGTTAGTCAGAATCTAAAGGTGAGTGAGACAAGTTTGAGCCCTCAGGTATCATATAGTCTAGTGGCAGGGATGGGAGCAGACATATCCATAAAGTTTTAGAAATGGTGTAATAAAAATTTGTAAGGGGAAAAAAGAAGTAATTTATTCTGGATATTGAAGTGGAGTGGAAAGTTAGTAAAGCCTTCCTAAAGCAGTCCTGTATGTGACCTCAGTATGGGTTTGTGAGCACTGGACACAGAATGAAAGAATGTTTGCCAAGACTGTCTTTTTTCAAAATCAATTGGCTCATCACATTTGAAAGACCATTTATTTGACAGTGATCTTTGTAATACAGCATAAGACTCATGGATGAGAGATATTTAGTGGAAAAGTAACAGAACGTGTTATGAAGTGTATTTCTTAATATAATCAAAATCCACCATAAACATCATGGATTCTGCTCAAGATAGGGAAAGAAGCCTCAGACTTAAAGTTCAACCACAATATATACAAAGTCATCTGTAGAATTTTGGGGATTCTTACTAGTGCATGTTTGAGACTCTCAAAGTTCATGGAAAATCTCAATTTCTTCTCTTAAGGTATCTGATGAGGATGAAATTCTACCACCTAAACTCCAAGCTGCCCTGATGCAGATTTTGGAAGAACGAAATGAAATCTTGGCTCAGGAACAAAATTTTTCACAAGGTATAAGACAAATGATCTGAGGACTTAAGGACAAGGCAGTAAATATTTACTGAGTGCCCAGTACCCTGTTAGCAGATATATAAAAGTAGTATGAGATTGCCTATGCCTTGAAAAGCTTATAATTAGCTCTCTTGCTCACCTTACTAGGTATACAGGTCCCCTTCTATTTCAGGACTTTTGCAGTTGCTCGGTTCCATTTATGGAATGTTGTTCCCCCACATGTCCACACGGCTCCTGCTCTTTCTTCCTGCAGGTCCATGCTCAAATATCACTTTCTCAGGGAGGCCTTCCCTGACTGTCATGTTTAAAATTGTACCTGTTCCCTTAGCACTCCCTATGCTCCTCTTTAACCTTATTTTTCCCTATGGCTTTTCTCACCATCTGATGTGCTAGATAGACTATAAGTTCCCCAAGAGTAAGGACTTCTGTTTTGTGTTCTATTACTAATATTTTAAACAGTACTCAGTAAATAGGTACTCAACAAGTATTTGCCGAATAAATGGGTGAACAATATTTATTGGGTGGCTTTCTCTGAACCAGGCATTATGCTCAGCACTTAGCTTACATCTTATTTTATCCTTGTAATACCCTTATGAAGTAGGTATCATTGTCCAATTCCCATTTGACAAATGAGAAAACTATTTGCTGATGGAGAACATTAGGGAAGGAGCAGCTTAGAGGAGTAATTATAAAACCTCAGTTTAAAATACTACATTTAAGATACATATTAGGTATACAATATCCAGCAGACATCCAACTGCATGTATCAGGTAGGCATTTATATACGTGAATTTGAGATTCAAAAGAAAAATTTAAACTAGAGATATACATTTAGAAGTTGCTGTCTTAAAGCTGTGGGACCAGAGATGAGATAGAGTGAATATAAATAGAAAATAACAAAGATTTAAGAATTGAGCTCCAGGTTGTTTGGGAATAGTGTGGTTAGATTTCTAGCATTTGGCAGTTAGGAAAAGAAGAATCTAGCCAAGGAAACTCAATGGTGCCACTAATAAAGGAGGAGAAAAACCAGGAGAATGTATGAAAAAGAAAACAGGAATGCAATATTGTAGAAGCGGAGTGAAGACGGTATTTCATGAAAGAAAGAGTAAACAGTTATGTGTAAGTCTGCTAAGAGGACAAGTAAGATGAAGACTAAGGATTGACCTGTGGGGGAAGGTATCTGGAAACCTTTGTAACAGCAGATTCAGTGAAATGGTGGGGAGAAAGCAAGACTGATAAATGTCCAAGAGAGAATTGGAATGACATTCAGCTCTTTGAAAAAATTTAATGAAAGTACACAGGGCCAGAAATAGCTAACAAACTCATGAAAAAGAACAGTATTGATGGGCTTGCCCTACAAAACATCGAGATTAATCATCAATAAGAGATCATTTGGTTTGGGTACAGAAATAAACAAATCGAGCAATGGAAAGAATAGAGTGTGCACATGCATAAGAAACTTGATTTGGGTCAACATCAACATGCAGATCCGTGGGAAAAGAATGAACCATTCAGTAAATAATATGAGGACAATTAGTTCTCTGTTTGAAAAGAAATGAATATGGATCCATACCTGACATTATATAAAAAATTAATTCCAATGAATTAAAGACTCAAATGTTAAAGTAAAACATTAAAAAATATTTAGAAAAGAACAGAAGAAAATATTTTATATTTTGTGACAGTACTTAGATTTCTTAAATGTGGCACAAAGAGCACAAACTATAAAGGAAAACATTGATTAATTGACAATGTTACATTATTTAAATGTTCATCAAAGGGTACCATGGAAAAGAAATAAAAATCAAGTTACAAACTAGGAAAAGATGTTTCCAACAAATATAACTAACAGAGGAATAATATCTAGAAATTATTATTTTTTATGTCTACAATTCAGTAATAAAAATATGAACAATGCAAAAAAAAACCCTGGAAAAAGATATGAATGACCATTTTCTAGAAGAGGCAATATTGAAAGACCCAAGACATATCTGAAGAGATATACAACCTCATCAAAATAGTTACATCAAAATATAAACTAAAACCACAGTGAGATACAATTTTATGCCCACTGTATTGGCAAAACTTTAAATCCGATGATGTTTATGAGAATGTGTAAATTAGTTCACCCATTTGGAAAAAACAATTTGACATCATGTAGTAAAGTTAAAAGTATATATATATATGAACAGAGAGAGGATTAAAGATGGTGGCGTGAGAGGTGAGACAGAGGTCTCCTCCCAAAACCACATATAATATGAAAATATAATTAATACAACTAATCCTGAAAGAGCAACAGGAAAGAAGGCTGCACCAGACTGCATACACCTGGAGAAAAGAATAGACCTCACGGAACGGGGTAATGTACCAAAACCGTGATACAGTAGGACCCAAGCCCTTCCCCCACCCCAGCTCACCAGTAGGAGGAAGAGAAACAGAGCCGGGAGGGAGTTGAGGCCTGGGGCTGCTGAACACCTAGCCCTGGAGATCTGCTCTGAGAGCATGAACCTACATTTCATGGTGCTCTGGTGATTAGTGGGGTTGGAAAGCTAAGACAGGTGGAATACCTGGAGAGACTGAAATTCCAGCCACTTGTGGAAAACAGGGATCCATATCCAGCGGCTCTGGGACAAAAGAAAGGCGGGCACTCTGAGAGACTTCCTAACAGCAAGAGGGCTGCTAAAGGGGCAAGGATTGTGCAGAGCTTACTGCTCAGGAGAAAGGACAGGTAGACAAAATAGCTGGGCACACTCTGCCCAGCAGGTTGGGAACTTTCAGGAGCTTCAGGTACTCCATGCCCCTGGCTGGCTACACAGCTCCAATGGCCCCCACTGTGATATGCACCCTGCTGTGCCTTCCTCCTGGCCACCCACACCTGGCTCACAAACCGGCAGTCCCTGCCCTGGTGTCAGGCCAGCCAGAGAGAAGCCCCAACTACAGCAGCTACAAATGCAAAGCATAGGCTTACACCTGTGTGTTCGGCCCACTGATTCTGGCTGTGGAGACAGGCATAGCAATCAGGAAGCAAGAAACAGCTCTTTCTTCCCACCAGGCACCAGCACTGCTCCCCTGCAGCCCCTGACAATGCTTCAAGGGTTGAGCAGCTCCAGAGAGGAGAGCTTCTGGGCACTAGAGGGCGCCGCATACAAATATGAAATGTCAAAGGACCCTGAATCAAACCAAAATCCCAAAAATACCAGAAAAGGGGTCAAGTGAAATAGAATTCATCAATCTTCCTGAAAGAGGTTTCAAAATAAAAATTATAAACATGCTCATGGAGTTACAGAAAAATATTTAAGAACTCAGGAACAAATTCAGGACAGAGATGCAATCATTACAGAATACAATGGAGGGATTTAAAAGCAGATTGGATAAGGTGGAGGAGATGAAAACTGAAATAGAAATTAGGGAAGAGGAATACAAAGAAGCTGTGTCACAGAGAGGAAAAAGGTCTCTAGGAATGAAACAATATTGAGAGAACTGTGTGACCAATCCAAACAGAACAGTATTCATATTATAGGGGTACCAGAAGAAGAAGAAGAGAGAGAAAAAGGGATAAAAAGTATCTTTGAGGAGGTAATTGCTGAAAACTTCCCCAATCTATGGAAGGAGATAGTCTCTCAGGCCATGGAGGTGAAGATCTCCCAACAAAAGGGACCCAAGAAAGACAACACCAAGATATAATGATTAAAATGGCAGAGATCAAGGATAAGGACAGAATATTAAAAGCCAAGACCCATCTACCTGTCTGTATGCTGCCTATAAGAGGCTCACTTCAAACTCAAAGACATACACAGACTAAAAGTGAAGGGATGGAAAAAGATATTTCATGCAGCTAATAGAGAGAAAAAAGCAGTAGTTGCAGTACTTGTATCAGACAAAATAGACTTCAAAACAAAGAAAGTAACAAGAGACAAAGAAAGACATTATATAATGATAAAGGGGTCAGTCCAACAAGAGGATAAAACCATTATAAATATATATGCACCCAACACAGGAGCACCGGCATATGTGAAACAAATACCAACAGAATTAAAAGGTGAAATAAAATTCAATGCATCCATTCTAAGAGACTTCTGCACTCCACTCACTCCAAAGGACAGATCCACCAGACAGAAAATAAGTAAGGAGACAGAGGAGGCATTGGACAACACATTGGAACAGATGGACCTAACAGACATCTACAGAACTCTACATCCAAAAGCAGCAGAATACACATTCTTCCCAAGTGCACATGGAACATTTTCAGGAATAGATCATACACTAGACCACAAAAAGAGTCTCAGTAAATTCAAAAAGATTGAAATTGCACCAACCAGCTCCTCAGACCACAAAGGTATGAAACTAAAAATAAATTATGCAAAGAAAATGAAAAATCCCACACATATGAAGGCTTAACAACATGCTCCTAAATAACCAATGGATCAATGACCAAATAAAAACAGAAATCAAGCAATATATGGAGATAAATAACAACAATAATTCAACACTGTAAAATCTGTGGGATGCAGCGAAGGCTGTGCTAAGAGGGAAGTATATTGCAACACAGGCCTACCTCAGGAAAGAAGAACAATCCCATATGAACAGTCCAAACTCACAACTAACAAAACTAGTAAAAGAAGAACAAATGAGGCCCAAAGTCAGTAGAAGAAGGGACATAAAAAAGAATAGAGCAGAAATAAATATAATCGAGAAGAATAAAACAATAGAAAGAATCAATGAAGGTAGGAGCTGGTTCTTTGAGAAAATTAATAGATAAACCCCTAGCCAGACTTATCAAGAGAAAAAGAGAGTCTACACACATAAAAAGAGTCAAAAATGAGAAAGGAAAAATCAACCACAGAAATACAAAGAATTATTAGAGAATACCATGAAAAGTTATGTGCTAACAAACTGAATAACCAAGAAAAATGGACAACTTTCTAGAAAAATACAACCTTCCAAGGCTGACCCAGAAAGAAATGAAACTCTGAACAGACCAACTGGCAGCAACAAAATTG